CAGTAGGGTTTTTCTTGTTGTTTTACAGTAAAAGAAAGTCGACTCTGCAAAGAAAATGTTGAAGATTTCTGAAGCCTGAGCTTCAACTGAACTATATGCATTTTGTCACAGACTGAGGACTCTGAGGAATTGTGGCCTCCCTCTCGTCAAACATATTGTTTAATGTATAGTGAAACTTCCACAAATCTGTAAATAATTGGTGCAAAATGAGGAATTTATTCAGGCTGTGTATTTATCAAGCACATCAGAATCATTCCATAGGAATGCACTTAAGGTTAATTCATGAATAAAAGAGACTGACACATGACTGGCTCATTGGAGAACTGCATGAAGACATAAATGTACATGTATTATATTTTAAGAAACACTGGATGAAAAGGAAATTTACACGAGTTTGTGAATTTTATAAAGCATATGCCTTTTGAAACCAGTTAACAAATTGGTGCAACTACCAAAGCTTCTCTGATCCTGACACTAACACTCACCTTCCACAAACCGGGAAATGATTGGTGCAAAATGATAAATTTATTTAGGGTGTGTTTTTATCAAGCACATCAGAATCATTCCAAGGAAAAGCACTTCTAGTTAATTTTCAACTAAAAAAGATAATCTGAAATTGGTTAAGGGAGGGCACAGGACAAAACTTTATCACCTATCAAACCAAATAAAAGAGCTGCATTGATCCCAGCAATCACAGCTTTGGAGACGGAGCGACGACAAGCAGACAACAGTTCGCCTGTCTTCCCACCACGAGTGATCTACCAACCGAGACCGAAGAAAAACTTGCAAAAGGTAGAATTACATTTTCTTATTAAGGACTTTAGCAGCAGATTTAAGGTCTGTTACACCAGTTAAATGTATTAATGGTAATGGCAAAGAATGGATTCCATGTGCTAACTTTTACACTTCATTTCGTACACTCACAACAGAGCTCAGTCTTATTGAGCCTACTAGTCATCCAAGTGACCAGTAGCCTAATAAACAAGAGTCAGGCCTCTGTTTAGAATATGGAGAGCGGTTGTAGATATGAGTGAGTGCTTGGTGAGTGACCAGCGTCAGTGAAACACATTTAAAACTGTGTTATTTCACTTCACAGTTTGCCATCACATATCTGGCAGAACTAAAACTTGTAGGAATCCTCTGTGGTTGGGTTTAGGGTGAGGTCGGGTTGAGGTTAAAGTGAAAGCTTGGGTTATTTGTCGTGGGGTTGTGTGAGGTATTTATCTATAGTCAGTGTATCACCTGCAGTAGGTTCAGGTTGGCACGCTCCCAGTTAAGTGAGGCAGCCAGGAGCTGAGCGATGTACAGCTGTGAACGGGGCCATCCACATGTTTTAGCCACTTTAGAAATAACACTTAGTATCATGTAAATTATAAATTCAGTAAGAAATTCAACCCAGAAGTTGTTCAATAGACAATTCATTTATTGTGATGAAATACAGTTAAACAGTAGAAATACTTTGCTTGTTTATGTAGAGAGGACCATGGTGGTATTCAGTGTCAAGGCAGAAGAAGGTGGGGCCTATGGACCCTTCTGCTCTGAGAAAACTCTGAAGTACAACACTGTGATTACAAACATCGGTGATGCCTACGATAAATGTACAGGTAAGTGCATCATATGCAGCAACACTCATAATCACTCACATTGTTTGTTTGATTGGAGTAACAGAAACCCATACATGTGATGAATACCTTGTTGTTTCCACAGGTGTCTTCACTGCACCTGTTGCAGGTGTTTATTATTTCACCTTCTTCTACCATGCTGGAGGAGAGCATGTGTCCAAGCTGATACTGCACAAGAACAAAGAGCCGGTTGTGATGACATCTGATCACAAAAGCGGCAGCAGTGACACTGCTGATAATGGGGGAAATGCAGTGTTCCTGAAGCTGGAGAAAGGGGACAAGGTGTCTGTTCAACTGCCTGCAGGTGCTCATGTTTGGGCATCAGAGGGCCACACCACCTTCAGTGGTTTTCTGGTCAACTCATGTTAGAGTTGATGTTTCCAAAAACCTGAAATCAATGATGCATCTACATGGAAATTAAAATTCATATTGATACAGGTGGCTGTTGCAGTCCTGTTACTGTATTCAATCAAAATAAATCATTACAGCATTAGTCAAATGAGTCTTGACTGTTTCATTTACTGTTATATGTCATGAAATCGACACGACGGCCACCTGATGTGTCACAACTGTAAGGGTTGTAAGGGTTTGAGGGGTAAAGCTAGACCCAAATGCAGCCATCACATGGGAGACGGTGCAGACAGGTTCATTAAACTAACACAAGCACAGGGAACCACAGGGGATGAAAACAGGTAACATGAACAGGTGACATGAACAGAACGAAGACAAACCAGACTTGAACAGCTTGAGGGGAAACCATGGATGAACAGATTGAGGAAAATCCAGAAATCAACAGGCATGAACAGGCTAAGGATAAACCCCAAGACAACAAAGACAACAGAGACAAACCGACCCAGACAAAGGGGAGCACAAAGACTATATAGACGAAGGAGGCAAGAGTGACTGCACACAGGTGAAACACATTAGGGCGGGGCAGACAATCACCACACAGAAACAGGACCAAGACAGGAAGCAAAAACACTGACACACAAGGAAACCAATTACAAAATAAAACAGGAAGTGCGAAAAGTCCAAACAAAACTAACAAAAGGTGTCTGCCATAGCAAACCATGACATGATGTTTGTGAATGTTACTGAAGATATTGCTCAGTGCTCAGCTCTTCTCCTTCAGTTCTCTTTTGTTAGTCTGATTTTTTTATGAAATGATTCCTTCAAACTTTTACTGACAAAACAAATTTACCGTTGGCCTTTACCAAATAGGTGAGTTGGCCTTCAGCACCTCCTTATTTCTGATTGGCTACTGCACACATTATGTTTGCTCTTCAAAATAAAGGTTCTACCTCTTTGACTTTAGACAATGACGACATACAAATATGGATCAATTGCGAAACACAGACAGACAAACAGAGAGACAAAGCTGCTTATGTTTATAATTGCTGATTATAATTGAACAATAATTAATGCTCTTACTGAGAGGTGCCGCCCATAATTTTGATTGTTCATTCATTACTCATTACTTAACCATTAGCTACGCTCTCTCTCTGCACCTCCAAGTAAAGTGACACATCGTAGTTCCTCATTACTTCATGATTATCTGATCATTAGCTACACTACTGTGCCCCCTAAAGAAAAGTGATAGTTACAAATGAAGTTCCTACTGGGGAAGTCACCATTCAGTTGCTATTTAATCATCATACTAAGACTGGATATATGTTAATATTCATATTATATTGTGTAGCATTAGTGATGCCATAAAAATAAATGTAATAAATCGAGAATGTGCCAGAAAGTAAGTCAGTTTCAAAACACAACGTCCTTTCGCCTACAGTGGCCTGATCTTTTTATTTTAACCTTATTTGCATTATTTCGCTGCCATGGGCAATTTAGAAAAGATCCACTAAGGTCTGCGCCCCAGGATGCAAACCACATGGAAATCAATTGTTCCTGACCTTGATGCAAACTAAATGCTAAATTCAAAATTTGATTTCAATTTTTCTCACTACTTGGATAAAGAAAACCCATCTGTCTTGGACATTTTTTACAAACTGTTATTAATTTAATCACAGCAAACAGTCAGTAAACCCAATAAAGTTTTCACTCTTTTAGTGGAAATATATTTTATTTTTATCAATTACTCCTGAAAGAGCTAATGTACAGAAATAATATTCACAAATGATTGCTGTCATAGGTACAAAATATTTGAATTATTTTTGAACACACATTTTATGCATTCATGCACATAATAAATCATAATAAAGCATAAATCTGAATATGTATGGTATACTGCAATAAACCAGTCATTTTTCATACAGCTAACAATTCTGGCATTTCTAACACCAACTAAAAGGTGGTATTTACATAATAAAATCAGACGTGTGAATTATGGTGCACACTGCTTTTTGTGTAGTTTTCTTTGTTCAAACTCAGTTTTACATATTCAAACACACCTTTATCTCTCATATGATAAAAGTCTCTCCACTTTCATCAGTCCTCATTTCAGACACAGAGGAACAGAAGCCACAAAAACATTTGTAATATAGCAGATAAAGCAGATTAAATTAGCATCTTGCTAATTTGCTAATTGAGTATTTAGCAGCTAAAAATGCTACATATTTTGCTCAGGAATCTAGAAAGAAGACATTTAAAAGGTGAGTGACTATTCATCAAGTAGCTAGAAACATGCCTTCACATAGATGCTAACAAGTTTACCACAGCAACTTTTGAAGATGTTAATATGTTAATGTGTTTTAAGTTCGTACAGCAGCTTCCAAGAGACCACAAAATCAATTGTCGCAGCTTTAAATAAACATGAGCTGCACAAGATTGACTTCAGTTTTGCTTGTAATTACACATATTTTCATGTGTGATGATCTGATTCTGATACAGTTTGCACTGTTGAAAGATGAAAGTTTTCATTTCATGGTTTGGAAAAAATATCCTCTGTGAATGCAAAGCACATGGAAACATGGACTGTCTGCCAGGGCTGATGCAAAGGTTTTGCAAAACAAAAGGTTTCTCAGTGAAGAGTCAAACAACTAATCCTCCTTTATTTCAAAAACTTATCACCAAAGAAAGATTGAAACATGCTAGTAAAGGCATTATTCTCATGATATTTTATATGGTATCAAGGTTAAAGTTGTAATCAGCTTGGCATAAAGTAAATCAGCACCCTGCATATGTAATGATTAACTGCAGTTAAAAGTGTCTATTGCAAATACAAGGTACAATACTATCTTTAGCTTGCAGAGTCCATAGACCAACAGAACCATAAAAAAAAAAAACAACAACATTTACCCATTTACCCCAGCAGCCCCTCATTGAACAATGCATAATAATGCAAATAACCCTACATATTATATTAAGATTAAAGCGACTGCACATCATGATGTTGAGCATATTTCAAAAGGCATTATTGGTTGGAAAGAAAATGCAAATTGTTTAAAATGTAGTATTTTTGTAGTAAAATACCTCAGGCAGAAGTTTGAACAGACATCTCAAGCAGCAGTAAAAGTTTTCATACCAAGGCTAAAAGTTTAAAGGCTCTATTGTCTTGTATTGAGACTGTGGGACAAAATCTTCAAAATCTAAAGAGAAAACAAGACTTAACTATAAAATACTGAATTAGTTCTGTAAATCAAAATATCCCCTAAGAGTCATCGTCAAGTCTAAGGCTCATGATTGACAGCTGTGATGACCATTGGCGCTGTGTTCTTCCCTTCATCACAAACACCAGGGCTGAAGAAGGGGAAGATCCTCTCAGTGAACAAACACCCAGTAAAGGTGTAGATGTGAGACCTGCTTTCCACATTAAAGAACGACACCGTCCTCTCCTCGTAATCCGTAAACACCCCGACAGTCTGTGGCTTCTCCTTGAGAGAAAGAAGGACCGAGGGTGAGTCCAGAGCTCGATACTCATCACCGTTCCTCAGCCGCACCGTCCAGTAGCCATTCTCTGGCTTGGAGGTGATCATCCCCTTCCTGTTGACAGACTCTTTGACCACGCCCATGTCCCAGAAGGTCTTTGTCCCCACTGCAACCTGATTGACAATACATATGAAGAGTTAATATTCAAAACACTTTAAAGTAGTAAAATCTATCGTAGTGCTGGATGTTCAAGTGTTATTGTCCCTCAGCACATACTGGGAGTAAACCTCTAAATGTATAAAGTATTTCGAGCTATCGAGTATTGGGTGTTGTACACCTTTCAGGCCACAAGAGAGCAGTACACTAATATGATGGTTTGCAGTGCTTAACATTTCTGACCTGTCGAGTACTTGCTGCATTTTATTTCACTCGCGATATTTAGAAGTCCGCAGTGAGTGAGAAAACTTATTTTCCACACCGCGAAACAAGTCTGGGTGAAGGTTAACAGAACTGAAACAGGACTTCAAACAAAAATAAAGAACCACAACAACTAGAGTGGCTAGGGTTGCCACCCATTACGTATAATACGGGATCGTCCGGTATTTGAAAACAAAATGCTGCGTCTTGTATTGAATATATACGAGATGCAATTTGTCCCGTATTTTCGTTCATGTTATGTCCTCAAAGTGCTGTGAATAATATCATGTCAAGTAATAATTTTGCATAATCTTCCCGGGATTTACGGCCACGGTGGAAACGCAGACAACAATGGGCCACAGGAACCTTTTAGTTCCTGGAGAAAAGTACCTGGAACTAAAAGCTGAAGCTCCCAAGCAGTCTCTTTGGTATTCTTTGGCATAAAGGCTGCAGTTCGGCATGCTGGTATCAGCAGAAACAAGGTCGAGTCCAGTTTGTACAGGTTTGTTGTACTGAACAGTCTCAGCAGCAGTATCAGGGTATTTAATCCGTACCAACTTCATTAAAAAAAGAAGGTATTTGGATGTTCAGTGGTAATCTATTGCTGTTGCAGCTTTATCCGATGGCCACTGTGATTTATAAAAAAAGTATTGCATCATCCATGAAGAAACTAACCTGGAAGTAGAACCTCCCGGACAGGAAGCCTTTCTTGCCGATAACGCAGATGACGGGGTCAAAGCGTTGGGGGTTGTCAGGAACGAGGTGCAGCAGCTCACCGCGGCCCGCCTGCTTCCCGTCAGCTGATAGGACGATGTTTGGATGGGCGGTGTCTGGGTCTAGTACCACGTCAACTAGGGCAATAAGACGTGGAGTAATTCAGTTAATAGGCTACTACTGTAATCCTACTACTAATACCAACACTACCAAGCTCAATCCAGGCTTCACTCGAATACAGATTAATGTGATATTTTAATCTTAAATAAAATAGGATTAATTATTTATTTATAGCTATGCTAACTTGCGAATTCCCCATTAGCTTATCTCCAAATTCTGTATGTAATTCAGTTCACTACAGTTCTTAAACACATGCAGCAGCTGTTGTGGTCGGAAATAAACCATAACTGTGACATTTCTAATTCTACAACTCCAGTTTATGCATGTCTACAACAGTGTTTTATATAACTGTGTATTTAAGAAATGAGTAAATACACCTTTAAATTTTAAGTGATTTTGCTAACAAGGGGTATGACAACCCCCCTCATCCAATCAAATCACCTACTGGTACTGTTATTATACACCTACAATCTTCTTGAGTGATGAAGCGAGACATGTATGCCACTTTTATTCATTCTTGTACATGTTCTTGCCTTGGAGTCAGTTAAAAGGTGAAAGGTAAAAAGGAAAGCAACTGAATAATTACATTAATTTATGACTATAGACTATAACATATAGAAAAATGTGACAATCCTGGTGAAAAGTTGTGCACGTTCATTTCATCCACCTCAGTGTCCTCAGGCCAGGTTGGTGAGTGGGAGGAGTAGTTGCACAAACTGCTGTCTGCCAAAAACTGTGTTTTTCAGTTATACAACCACAAGAGGGCGACAAAATCAAAACATCTTGAATCCTCTCATATTATTTTAACCATATACTGTAGCAGTACAGCATTCCTAAATGCATTTTACCTAAACACTGGATATATCTACATGATTATGTTCAGAGAGATCATACCTGCATATTTTTGCATCCTCTTCATTTCTGCCAAAACAATAAAAAAAAAAAAAAAAGATCAGTTTTGGAAGTTTTAATGAGGCTTTTCAGTTTAAAATGTATCAAAACTTTAGAAAATTCTTGTGAATAAGGTATAAAAATGAACTCTTCCTCTATTAGACTTTTTTTTTTATTCATTTTGGTACCAGGTGCAGGAGCCTGAAGTTGCCCTATTCACGCAGGTACACAGGGGCACAAACAATCCCGTTCCCTTTACCTCCTTTCTTCAGGCCGTCCAGCTCATTCTTCAGGGTGTGGTCCATTTTAGAAAGCGCTCTACTCACAGTCCCCACACAGAGTTCAGGGTGGACACTGATCTCCTTCCACTCTCTGGTGGGTGGGGGTGACGTAAGAGAGGGCACCCTCTGTGACAAAGACAAAGCAGTGATGTAAAACCCTTAACAACATCTTTCTACCAGGAAGGCCAAAAGGATTTACTTTCTAATGGCCGTCAAGACTTTGTTCCCCACAGCTTCAGGCAGATTATTTTTACCTGTAAGAGGTGCAGGTGGTCCTCACTGCTCCTCAGCTCCTCCAGCTCAGTGTTTCTCCTCTGCAGCTCAGTGATTTCCTGCTGCAGCTCGTTGGTCAGCTCCTCCGCCCTCTGCTCCGCCGCTTTCTGCTTCTCCTTGATCTCCGTGTGGACTTCGGCTCGTCTCTCCTCGATGGAGCGAATCAGAGACGTAAAGAGACGGTCGCTCTCCTTCATCTCCTTCTCTGCGCTCACCTGGATGAGGATACAAAAAATGTGAACATGAATGTGTATGAATGTTTTCTGCGTATTGTTACTGAATATCAGTAAAGAGTGGTACTCTTGTTACTTGAAACATATTTTGTTATTGTAGCTAAAACGGAAACATCTGGCCCCGATGTCCCCATCTCTACATTTGGCCAATTAAAGTGCTTCTGAATCTTGTGGCCGATAAGACGACTCACTGTGCTGAGCTTCAGACAGCTTTTGACCTCCTCTACTTTCTTCAGTCGCTCCTGGATCATCTGCTGAAAATCAGCCTCAGTCTTCTTCATTTGGACCTAAACAGGCAGAAAAAAGAAGAAAAGACATGGACCGTAAACGTGGAATCAGACATACGCATACATCCAGACACTGGACATTACCATGCATCAAATACAAGAGGTTCCACACTGACTATTCCAACATGAAACCTTCAGTATTTTCTTCTCTCTCTGTCTTGCTCTACTGGGTTCTTTCTGGGTTTTTAAAAAGAAAAGTAAATGTAGTAATCAAATCCACAGTTCCCCTCTATTAAATACATACTGTGTGTCACTAGCTAAAGATAGAGCCTGATCCTAGAGACCGTCTGAGCGCTAGACATGATGTCATGCAACATGTTTGCCTTTGCTATCACACACCCTAAAAGAATCAGTCCAGAATCTGCTTTGAAAATAAAGCTACAACAGACAAATCCATGGGTAAAGATAACACTTTATTTGTATTGAAGCCTGGCAATGTTGTGTTTGTTAAACTTTCACTTTTATACTCTACAGTAAGAAGTCTAGACTAGACTAGTAGTTTCTTTAATGTACATGTAAAACTGCTGTAGTGATGGCTGAATTTTTTTGATCCAAGGTAAATGGACCATACTGGATTTATATGCGGCTTTTATTGTCTTATCGACCACTCACAAGCCACATTCACCCATTCACAAAGTGCCGTACACATTCTCTCACGCTGACGATTTGGGGCTCAGTACCAACAATTAGTCTAATTAATTATTCAGTTGATTGACAGAAAATGTTTTGGTTCTGGACTGCTGCTGTGACAAAAGAAAATTTGAAGATGGCACCATGGACTTTGCGAAATTATAACAGTATTTTATGGACAATACAATTAATAGATTATTCAAGATCATGTTTAATGTGTTAATTTGAATGAAAATTAATAATATCATTAAGGCACTCTCTGTGGAAACAGATATCAGTACTGACTTGTTCTTCAGAAATCCATTTAGCCTGAACCCTTATAATAGAGTATGTTCTATGTACCTTCCTCTCCCCACTCTCCTCCTCTATCGTAACAGCCTGGTGATCTTTGTGCTCGGTCTCTGTGCAGAACTGGCACACACACTTCTGTTCGTCCCTGCAGAACATCTCCAGCAGCCTCTCGTGCTTCTTACACATCCTCTCCTGCAGGTTCTTCACCGGCTCGATCAGCTTGTGCAGCTTCAAGGCGGAGACTCTCTGGTGAGGCTCCAGGTGGGCATCACAGTACGACGTCAGACACACCAGACAGGACTTCAGGGCCTTCACCTGCAGGGAGGTGGTGGCACAGACATCACACACCACCTCACCTGGCTGGGCCGCGGACAGCGGCAAAGCCGACGCGCACACGATCATCTTTCTAAATGTGTCCGCCAGCTCTTTGAAGGCAGTGTTGATGTTTATTTCAGGCCGAGGGGAGAATGATTTGTTACAGGTGGGGCACTGGCAGACATCACTGCTGTCCCACACACTCTGGATGCAGGCCTGGCAGAAGTTGTGTCCGCAGGGAGTGGTGACCGGGTCGGTGAACACCTGCTGACAGATGGTGCACTGGAACTGTTTTTCAGGTAACATGTTGCCCGGGGATGTCATTATCTACAGAACAGTAAAATCAAATAAAAAGGGAAGTTAGGTGATAAGTTGCACAGGAAGAACTTTGATAGAGGAAGTAAACACAAAGATTTATATCCTCAAAACAAACACAAAAGTCAAAGGTACAAAGAGTACTGTCTTTCCAAAACACATAATATCTACTACTGAAAATACCTTTAAGAAAAGCTAAACAGTTTCACAGAAGATGAATCAACAAATTTGACCACGCATGATTGGTATCAGCGTAAGAACACAGATGAGTAACTTGGCTAAAGTGTTTATTTACTAACCTATCTAATGCCGTAGCTGTGTAAGTATGGGAAAGTTTGCATGTCATACACCCTGCACTGTTTGGTGCGCTTGGTGTACAGTATTAGTCATTGTTTACTTGACCACACACACCAGACACTCCCATGGAAAATATTCACACGACTACAAAAACACCCTACCATGAAAAATATCTTACTTTAATGTTAGAGATAATATTACCATTGCTTCTTGTGAGACAGGCTGGATTGGGTTATTTGTGTGGAAGTGTGTGCATGTGAAGTCCTTCCTAAATTCTTAACTATCAAGCTAGTTTTAAACTAGTGATTCAGTAAATCAGGTTGGTGATGTGTAAATCAAAATCACATCTGTCTAGTAATCACCAATGTTTAAATGTCACTATGGTGTCTAGCTGACTAGCTGTAACAAAACTGCCAAAAATGATGCAGATATATTAAACGTAGCTGTCATCCTTTGTAAATGTAAATATTACTGTGTTTTGAAATTACATGCTAACTATGCTAACCATGCTATTTAGCTATTAGCCCTACATTAGCCCTTTTACTGAGCTACAGATCAGTATGAAGACTCAGCCTGTTAGCTTAGCATAAATACTGGCCTACCTGCACCTCTAAAACACACTAATCGATATTTTGTATCTCCTTTGTTTAATCTGCACAAAAGGTGTAAAACTGACTATTTCTGCTTGTACAGAGGTTGTGTGTCAATTTATATCTTGGCAGAGCACAGTACCAGGCCCAGGCTAGCTGTTTCCATCTATTTTCAGTCTCTATGCTACGCTAAGCTAACCAACTGCTGGCTATAGCTTCACATTTATCATACATACATAAAAGTGGTATCAGCTTTAGCGTATTTGCCAAAATACATACAAACGCAAGCAAACAGACAGCAAAGACAATAATACAATACACAGACAATACACATATCTGGTTCATCAATTTCTCCCCAGTTGTATTGTAATGACTTCTCATATATTTACTTGGTCAAAAACTTCTATTTTGAGTCATTTTTTTAGAAAACAGACAGACAATAAGACACGTTCTTTAGCACACTGGCACAGAAATAATGCTAATTTTGACACACAGAAAGCAGCATGAATGTTAAGCAACATTTTAAAGACAGAATACATTAGAACCTATTGAGTCTCCACAGATTTAAATAAGTAAACAGTATGTTTTGCTGTACAGTAGGTATAACTAGAAAATTTATATACTGACAGCTACAATACTATTTATCCTTTAAACAATCCACGTTTTAATTATTTAAGCTCATTTATTTCCCTTTCATTCACTTGCCCAGTCTTTTTCTCAACAACAGCAGATCATATTTTCAGCTGTTACTGCATATTGTTCATACTTACAGCTAGGTCTCGTAAGCTGGTCAATGGTCTGTCCTCTGTGACGGCAGAGCAGGTGACTCCCCTGCTGTATGAATGAGTATGAATACATTACAACGCTAGCCGTGAAACAGGAAAATGTAACGTCAACACAGTTATTCATCAGCCCGGCCCTCCCTCTGCTGAGCCCAGTGCTGCGCTCCGTCCCTCTCTGTCTGCTTCACTGTATTTACCTAATCTTAAAGTAGCAGCACTCACAGCACAACCTACCAGTTATTGTATTGTGTGAATATATGTGATCATGGGAAAACATAGTAGTAGCTTTCACACAAGGAAGGAAAGTGTTTTCCTCATGGGTGTGGTGCTTGAGTCCAATGGTTAAAACATTTCCTACTCACCTGACACACCTGACAAACAGACAACAGTCTGTCCTGAGGAATGCTGCAGTTTTGCATATCATTACAAGTAAGTCATGGTTACAGTGACACGTGTGGCGTCAGATAAAAGCCTAATCAGCATTTTAAAAGCGTCCTTGGCCATATAGAACAATACGTTAGAGTCAACAAAGGCCATTACATCAGACTTTTGTTTAAGCCTTTGGTTGTTATATAATCTCCAAACCAGTTGTTCTAAATTGGTGGCTCATTTTCACAATAAAGACCATGTGACAGGTGTGTGAGGAAACCTTTTACAAGCCCATAAAGTACAAACAGGATACAGGATGTGCTGTAACTGACTTTACCACCATACACCTTACTACAAGTGAATTTCTAGATTAATTGTACATTATAGGCAGAAATCAGTTAACATGTAAAGACATTTCACAATAAATATATGGCTAATTTTTATGAAAATTTGTATTCTAAACACCAAACCACTGAATGAACTATTGATAGAAAAATCTAATAAAAAGGTTGTCAACAAGGGTGATTGGCTGTAATTTGAGGTTTTTTACAGCAGAAATGTGTAACTTTGGTGCAAGAAGATTAATAAAAGCAAAAGTAAGTGGGCTTCAACTGATATCGAAATGCATCAGATATATATTTAATCCAGAAATAATAATAATAACTCATCTGCAACAGAAAATAATCCCCTCAAGGAAACGCGTTTGCATCCAGATTACATTTTCTTTTACCGTAATGAGGTCATGATGTTAATTCATGTATTTGGTAAATCACAAATTTGTTGATATCGAATGCACCAGTAAAATGTTCACAGACAATCTTTGGTTTCTGCCAACATTTCTGATCTGGTCGTAAAATATCCACTTGCAGTGACTATAGCATTATTCAACTTTTGTTTTGGCACTCACAGCAGTTGGTTAATGTTAGGGAAATATCCCAGTCGGGTTTGATACGGAAAACGTTCACAGTGACTTAAGACACAATGTGTTCATTTACATTTAACCAAAACCACGGTCTTTCCCTAACCTTAAGCAAAGTGCTTTTGTTACATGGAACCAAACCAAAGGCGAGACAATGGGTGCGAACTCCATAGCGCTTCATTCATTTGTTCATTCAAAAAGAACAAAAAAAAGCTAACAAAAGCGGTTCACTTTTAATTGATTTAAATTAATTTCATATATGCACACATTATTGCAAGTACAATTTGCAACTGAATCTGTGAGTCACTTACAACTTTAGTGATTTACAAATTTTAAAATCAAGTAATCAAGCAAGTAACGGGTTTTATAGGTGGATTGTTATTATAAATGTTATATTCTCATCCACACGAGGAACCATACATCACCTCATGTTAGCATACTCTTTGCCTGAGGTGAGGCCGGGCGGCTTTACATCTGCTTTGCATTGTTGAACACAGCACAAGACCACAGCATACATTTTCTAATCTATGCATGACCCTGCACGGCAGTTTTGTATCACTGTGATTTGTATCAGTGATACTGTGATACCACTTTCCGACATTCAGCAACATTTTCCGCAACTGTGTCAGCTGTCAATGACTCATTCAAATTCAAAAACTATGTGAAATCTTTTCTGAGAGATAAAAATGTTAATCACCTTCAAATAAAAACTTCTTATCATTTTTAAATGACTCTAAATAACTCCTATTTAAAATTTTCAATGGGATGTGTAGGAATCTGAGATGCTTAAAAGTCCGTATCAGACAGCATTTTCCTACAGCTCCTGGGACTCGAAGGAGGCCTTAATCACTGTTAGTGTCACAGAAGGAGGCAAAAGACATCACATGACAGCTGTTAGGGCTGGAGATGATGAGTGCTTTGCATAAAAGGGATTAAATTTGCTATAAAAAGAGGAAGCAAGAAGAAGAAGACGGAGAAGAAGACAGAGAAGAAGACGAAGCAGAAGACGACGGAGATAAGGGGAAATAAGGATTTATCCTGGAAATAGTGTCAAAGTCAGTCAAATTTTTATAAAGGGCAAGAGTTGGGAAGTTTAGATATGTCACCAGTCTGCGGTCCAGTGTGCTCAGGTAAGAAATATGTTTTAAAAATATGAAAAAGTCAGTGTGTATGGAGGACTTAGAGAAATGTACAGCCATATATTATTTGACCAGAAGGTTTAATAATCTCCAATCTCCATCTCAAAGTTCAGTTGAGCAACTGAATTGAATTAATGGCTAATTGTACATAAGTTATCCTGTGTAAGTAAATAATTTATCAGACAATTATTTGAAGAACGTCTCTGATCCACAGGCATTATTAGAAGGGCCATGCTGTGTACCCTCCTTTTATCAGGTCAGTCTGCATGTGTTTGTTTGCATTTGTATTTTTTATTTGAACCTGTTTGTAAAAATGGTAGCAGTCGTTCTGCTAACGTGCTGATGTGGAGCGAGTGATGTCAGGTGATCACCAAGGTTATCACAGTCCATCCTGTGGGAACGTGGATGGCTACAAGCCTCCTTCAAATGCGGTCAAGAAACCCGTCCTTCTTTTCCTGGGCAACGAAGGCTCGAACTGTTGAGTCCTTCGTGACCCGACCCCTAAGATTCATTGCGCGACGAAGGGCCACACCTTTGTAGACCTCTGAAGGGTGCGGCCCCTGAAATGGGACACAGCTACAGTGTTGTCCATCTGATGGGGGGCGTCAGATCAGAGGATCGTGTTTTAATTTGGAGGATCTCTGTAGTTAAGATGCTGGTTGAGATTACCAACACCTTTCAGTCACTGCTGCACGTCATGGGTCTTATTTACAATGAGTGTCTCTCTGCTTACAGGCCTGTGTTCATGCCTTCATAATTACCACCTGGTTGATCAACTAAACACATGGCATGACGCGGTGCTTTACTGCAGGAAAAAGTACACTGACCTGGCCACTGTACACGGCAAGGAGGACATGAAGCGGCTGATAGCGGCTGCCGGCAGTGGTTATGAGGGAGAAGTGTGGATAGGCCTGCATGACAGATGGGACTGGCGGTGGTCTCTGTCCAACACGGGAGAGCCAAACTGGGGCTTTAGGAAGTGGAACATAGGTAAACCGAATAACAGTCGAACACAACCGCAGTTGTGTGTTTCTTTCCATCAAGGTCTCTGGGATGATGACTTCTGCAGTGAACCACTCAGCTTTGTTTGCTACAACAAGACCAACGCTGGTGAGTAACGTTTATTAAGGTATTTATTTAGAAGGAAAGATCCCACTTTATGCACATAGTTAAATAAAATAAATTATTGAGTTTGCAAAACAGTGTAAAGTCATATATACTTTTTTAAACCTTCAGTCATTTCAATTATTTTGTTGTATATCTTTGCATGATTTTTCTTTTGAAGTCCTCTGATATGAGATTATTTTTTTGACTAAGTTCACATATATACCCCATATATATGTATATTAACTGATAATTAAAATTATTGTAGGAAAGTAAAAGTATTTTATTGTTGTTATGGTTGTTTTTTTTTTGTTTTGTTTTTTTTTACCAGTAACTGACCTTTTAAAAATCTTTCAGACTTGCCAACCACTTCCACTGACAGATACATCTTTATAAACCAAACAAAGACGTGGCCCCAAGCTCGGGCCTTCTGCCGACTGCACCACACAGACCTGACCAGTGTGAGGAACGACACCGAGAATGGGTTGATCCAGCAGGTGGTACCAGGAGGCCAGAGGGCTTGGATCGGACTGCGCAGAGACACCTGGAGGTGGTGGAAAAATGGCAGGTCATCATTCAGAAACTGGGTAGCTGGACACCCGCTGGCTACAACCGGGAACTGTGCTGCCAGCGTGATTAATGCTACTCACCTCGGAAAGTGGGTGGAAAATCACTGTGACCACAAACGTCATTTCATGTGCCACAACAGTGAGTTATTTTCATCTTGAAACAACCACACATTGATTATATTTCTAAACTATGATATGTTCTTATATTTCTAAATTTGATCGATATTTTTATTTCATTACGAGACAAGAAGCAGGTGTTTAAAATCAAGCTGACAGCACTGAAATCCACAGTCGACCTGAACATCCCTAATGTGACGGAGGCCATCTTGAATCTGGTAAATGTCTTCGTTAACACCTGTTGGTTTTCTGGAAATATAGCTGTATCTCAATCCTGAGTGTATGACATTTTGAAAACAAAAAAGCACATGAATTATAATGAACATTACAACATTAGCAAAAAAAAAAAATTGAGATTTGTGATAACAATTTATCAATCAAGTCCTGCAATATAGGCAAGTGCAGAAATAGGCTGAAATACACACCAACAGTGTTCTGGGAGTAAAATGTCAAGGGTAACAGCATTTGATTTGGGAACTGTCTGTCTCTCTGTTGCTTAGCAAAAGTTATATTTAATATAAATGTGATACGAAAGTTACAAATTCCATTATGATAGTTGTATGTTGGCGAGTGTCCATCAGCATTCAGCTTGTAAAATGGTAACGTATGTAGACCGAAGTGTAAATTGGATAAACGTCAGGTTGCACTTGCATGTTTTATTCATGGCATGAATAAATGCTCTATATTAAACCTCCCAACACATAAATACACCTTGATACAAGATAGAAAACAAAATAAAGAGGTAGAGGATAAAAATAAAGCTAAAGAAAAATGGAAACCAAACTTTATTTGGTCTGTGTTTTAATTGTTGTTACAA